TAATATGGAAAATGTTTCTTTTAAATTAGGTTTCTAATGGTTTGTTTTGTTAAAACTGTACTTACCTATATAGGTTTTGGTGCCGTTTGGTTCACAGAAAGGGTGATCTAAACCATTCCTAAAAATATTGATGTTTTTATTTGCCGTTGCTATGAACCAACATTACGTTTTAGCATGAGGACTTTCAGATAAAGCTATGTCATATTTGGTCCAAAATTGGTAAGATAATACCAGAATGTAATTGGAAGACAGCCAAAAGGAACAATACAGGTATTTTGGTTTATCAAACTGACCTATCAATGCAATAGAGCAAATGTAACAGGCACTCGTATTCAGACTTGAACTGGGTCCAAGAGAGATTTTAGTGAAATTGGTAAATACTACTGAAAAAACTAATACTTTGGAAACTGGTCCACATTCCCATTCGCTTGCATAGTTCTTAATGTCAAGTCAAATAATCATTTTGGTCAGCGATAAGTCGTTATCGGTAAACAATTTAAAATCATTAGCGGGTTGTTTGATAACAGACAAATGGCTGACAAAATATAGATAGTTAAGTTCTACTATTGTTATGATCTATATTTAGATATAAAGAAATTCTTTGATGATACATTTAAAAATATTTCATGAAATTCTTGGCGAATTCTAGAAGAACTTCTTTAAGCAATATTCGTCTCACATCTATAGTTCATACATACGATTTATGTTATAACTGTCATTCATGTATTTTCGCCTTTGAACTATTTTCTTTGATAGGTACTTGAGTACTTATTTACAATACGCATTTAATAATAGTGCAGTTGTACGGAGCCACGTTGTCAGCGTGGTCCAGAAATAATATTTGGCAAACTTTCTTTGGCGTAGTAAATTGTGTGCAATGTTTTTGTGGCTTAAAGAAAACATTTTAATCTTCTAAAATTAAATAATACCTAATGTAACAAACATTCTAGTGTGTGCATTTGTGTAATTTACATAAAAAATATAAATGGTATCGCGATGACACGATGAGCAAATGTCAAATTATTTGAATTTTAAAAATAGAATACGACATTCTGACGGGCGCGTTTCTCACGAGGTCGTGGGCTTTATTTTTTTTTTATATTTCATGACCAAGGCTCAATGTGGGAAGGCCAAACAAAAAAAGTTTTTTGATGTTTTTAGTTATAAAGTCCGTTATACATAATAATATTACTAATGGAGGAAATACGCACGAAAATAAATTACACGCTAGAGCGAACAGATTCTAGTTGTTAGATTATTGAGTCAAATGTTATTTGTCTCAAACGTAAGCTACTTATTTTGTTGCTTTTGTATTGATATTAATTTATATTACATAGGTATTTTACATGCATAATTTGCATCTCGTTAGTTCACAAGTCTGAACATGTGATTGACTTGGCGCATCTGCAAGTATTTAATGTGAGAAACGTAACAACCATGTGTTGCTACATACCGAAAAAAATATAAAACCATTTTTGTTTTATATCGTCATTATGTACTTTGCCAATTTCTAAAATTCTTAGCAATCATTATGTAAATAAACTAGTTATTTACGAGTCGTACGATGCACTAAAAATAAAAATAAAGGCTGGAATTTATTCAAAACCTCTTTCTTTCTTTCTTCAACATTTTTAATCTATGACAGTTACCACCGTTGTCAAAGTGACAATGAAAAAATACCAAAGAATTTTACCATGTTTTTAACAACTAGATAATTTTTAAAATGTGAACGCCAGAATTCTATGTGGAAAAACTTTTAATTACAAAAGCGATATAAAAAGAGTTATTGAACGGTAAGTCGTTGTTTATAAAAGGGGTCAAGTTTAATTGGTTTCTTTAACGTCAAGTGTGACATTTAGATTGTGGCACGCGCTAGCCAGGTGCATTTCATAGCAATTAGTGTTGTCCGTTAGCGGAAATAAAAGTTTTAGTCGAGTTTCATATTATCATTAACTATTTTTATTACGTTTTTATTTTAATTTGCATCAATTTTATTGTTATAGGCGAAGAAGAATTTGAAGTTATTCTAGAGCGCTTAATTGTAATTACAACACAATAAAATCATTTTGTTGTAATTGTAGTGTTGTAGTCAGATGCTGCATATTCTGTGTATTATATGGCATGTATAATGTGTAATATCGTATAATACTTTTAGTATTTATTTATGTTACCACAACATTTAAATGCCATTTTAAAGATCTGAGTAAATAAAATTACCAAATGTATGTACTTAGTCATCGACATACCAAAATTAGTATTTATTTAGTAAGATCGTAACCACATTTATTTTTAGAATTTAAATGTAATACAGAACATTGAATTAAAAAAGGTTTCATTATTATTATTACACTAATTCTTTAAATAAATAAAGTTACTCAACCCTTGACTTATACAGAAACATTAACAAAAAATGTACCCAAATTCGTATCAGAGTCATTGAAAGCTTAATAGTATGAATTAATTTAATTCAATTAAGGGAATTAAAGTTCAACTGCTCATATTTGCATCGGACAGGCGGTCATTGCACTTCTGTCCTCCAATTAACTTTACATAAAAAGATTCTTATCATCAACTCCATCGATCTAAAGTTAATCAACTTCGAACGATGTGATAAACGTGGAGTGGCAACTGCTATTACACTATCTAGTGTAATAGCAGTTCTTATTTCTTATACAATCAATATTGTAGTTGGTGAGATCACCAACTACAATATTGATTAGTCGATTCAGTTTTACGTTGCATTTTAATCGATTTAATTTTTTCTAGGATCTGCAATAATCGATGTTGATGGGACTTAACCGTGAAGGATGTTCATCTTATTCATATATTTAATGACAAGCTTGGCAATATTATCATTCATATTAATTAACAGAAAAATACGACATCGAAATTTGTCTCGATATTATTAATTACCTTTTAGAATAAAAATATTATATTGCAATTCATAGCGATTTTTATTGAGGAAGGACGTTTTATATTAGACGTTTTTATGGGAATTATGTCAAAAACCAGACTTAAACACAAACAAGGTCCAATACCACATGTGGCCTAAAAAGGCCATAAATGCAACATATGGGTCGATTTTATAGTCGTTGACAAAAAAAACGTCAATTGCGCATTAAAAGATCAAAAGACTGCACAGACATTGTAAAACCTTGAGAATTAAAGTTACGTTATGTTTGTACGAGTAACTATTGCAATAAGAACTTGAAGATCTGTATCAGGCATTTCAATTAAATGTTAATGCGAAGTTGGGTACGTACAGAAATGAAAACAATTGGTTGACCACACTAATTTTGGTATTTATTACAATATATAATTGAAATATTCTTGATATATCCTAACTAAATAATATGTTGATATTCTCGATCTAGATATTCTAGATAATAAGCAAAAGTCTAACTATGAAATCGATTTTAATAATTAGTTTCGTTACAGACAGGACTCTTCGCAAAATGGTGGTTGAAAAGAGAATGTTGCACAAAATCTAAACGGATTCTAATGAAACTAAGGTTAGAAGCAAGACTATAATAATATTAAAGATACACAGAACTAAAATGAGAACTAAATTTAGGTAAACAACAGCTAATGGATGATCCAAAGTCACGACAGCTCACGACTACAAGACAACAACTCAATCACTTAACAACAATCACAAAATAGATTTCGAACACTCAAAAATTTATGAAGATGACCCCGATTATCCTAGTGCCCTACAAATAATTTCATTAGTATGTAGCCAAACGAAATAGGCCAGTAACAATGGTCGCATCTACAACAAGTATGCTCAATTTTATGGTCAGCGACCATTTAAAATATGACATAGAAGAACATGAAACAATGCCTAATGATGACACGTGCGATGACGTAGATCTACGACAATAAGGTCTTGATATGAACACAAGTAATAAGAAAGCTACCAAGGATAATATAATTGCTAATAAAACTTAAGAAGTAATTCCTTATATTGCTGAAATTGTTTACTCATTTCGTATTTACGACTTTGCAGATGGATATTACAAAGACGTCACTAATTACTTTATAATTGTTTTGTGACGTGGTTGTCGATGGGTATTTAGTTTTCATTACCGTTTGTGTTCATGACTGGTCTCGGGTTTCATTCTTGAGCTGGGTAGAATATTACCATTATCAGTCAATTTCTCATTGTTGACTTTAATAACAATAATTTAGGAGTTCTTTCGAAGATCCTTGCAAGCATTTGAGTCAATTACAATTCTGCAATGAACGTGCACCTTGCTTCACTGCAAACTTTTCATAGAGAATATTTGCATGTTTAAAGTTACATCACCAAAGGCAATACTATTATGTTATTCACGTTGTGTTGTCACAACTCATTAAATTATTAGCAAGAATAGCAGTAATTTTACGGAAGAATAATCTGTAAGCACGAATTAAAATTACGTACTATTGCAAAATGTGTTCGTGCAATGAATAATTCAATCTGAATTGTTTTCTAATCACGTTGCTACTGATTCTTAGTGAGGTAAACGGCTGATTTTCTATCTTAAAATCTATTTTGCAATTACATGAATTAAAAGTAAAAAAATGTTGCAAAAAATCAATACATGGGTTTGGTTATTGGGACCATTATTGAATACGTAATGGTGGGTTGTGGTTTTTTAATTACCGTGCAAAAGGTCTTATTAGTGAAGCGAAAGAAATTTAATGTCAGTATAATTAACTGGTTTTTCTGCTAAAGTAAAGAACAATTAAAACTACAGGTATTATTTTCAGAAATAGAATTTCAGTCCTGGTTTATTTAATTAAGTTTCATTTTAAAAGTAGACAGTAGCAATTATTATTAAAGCATAATTAAAAATATAGAAGTCACAGAAACTTGTAAAAAGAATAGATGCAAAGCGAAACCTACACTTGTACAAACATAGATGTATCACAGAGGTTTATAATAAAAAGTATAACGTGTAAGTAAAAAAAATAAAGTTTTTAAAAATAAAATGAAGTCATACACTACCACTCACCGGATTTCCTTTTTTCGTTCACTAGGACCAGCGATTTCGTCCTCTTAACTCTCAAAGATCGTCGCCTTATGGACCTCATGAGTGCCTCAGGCATCCTCGAAAACCTGGGAGAGTCCACTCTCTTTTCAGGCATAAAAAAATTCTTGACCGCCAACATTGTTAACTATTCACACTTCCCGCACTATTTACCGAATAAAGAATCGATTACACGAATCCCATCTCTATTTCAATTACTTCACTTATCACGATCAATGTCGTTCGAATTATAAACACAAAAAACTGAGACTAATCCATTTTAGTCGATTTTCAAGGTCAGGAAATTCACATCAATTAGTAAGTTGTGGGTGGTACTAATTGAACAGTCCTATTTAGTAAGAATGTCACTATTGTTTGTTCTCATCACTATTCCGTACGGAGAGCATCCTGTTTGCCCGTTCCGTGGTCGTATTAATTTTAGGGGACGCGCGATACGTCCTCTCATTGACGGAGCGCGCAGCGTACTGGCGTCAGAGTAGCTAGGTGTAGTAGAGGGGATTGCCTTGCGGGTTCGCGAATGTTATCTATCTTCTTATCAGAATTTACCTAGTCTTCATAGGTACAATAAGGTCGTAAAATTTACTGTGAGTTGATAACCGGTAACAAGGTCGTGTACTGGATGAATGAAATAGCTATTTATATTCCGTACAGCATACAATTTCAATTGAGGGCGATAATTTTCTCACATTATGGCTACCGATACAGTGAATTCAATTTGAATTGTTATATTTATCTAAACATGTTGTGTATTGTATCGTTACTGTAGTCGCAATTTGAAAGATGGACGCTCACGATAAAAAATGATGTATGTGATACTCATAAAAGTAGACATCGGTGCCCACTACCACCCATAACTTAGAGTATAATTTAAAAAGGCACAACATACAAGTATCATAAACATTTTAATATCAAGCCAGCTCCGAATGGGTAAGCAACAGTAAAAGTAGAAGGTAAAACATAACTCAGAGACGACATTGCAACAGGAGCCAAAATTTTGTGCACAGCAGACACGCATACCACTTGAACAACGACTGTAGGCAAATAATACAAGAGGTCAAATGAAAAACGGAAATAAGATATTCAATTTAAATATCCATATCCGATGATCGACCGGCAGTAAACAAACCAAACTCGTTCCTTGAATATCGATATGAATCACACACCTGTATACATTATCCTCAATCTAGTTTCCTTTCGGGGTGGTCAGAGAGTACCGAGCACCATATAGGTACATGCACTTCCTATGTCACTTGTGTCTCCATATGAGGAATCGATGTATTACTCACGATTTTATTCTTAGCTTAAGCATTGCATTGCCTTAATAATCAATAAATAAATCAAGATCAGCCGATTGGTTTTTACTGGGTCTTTCATAGTAGTTTCTGAAATAGACTATGCAATATAATGTAAGAAATCAGTGCCAAAAAATATATTATGATATGTCTAATCTAATTGTCTTCTAAACCACGATGTGCAAACATTTGCAGTTCCAAAATATCTCAAAACCTTTATAGCGTTAAATAAAGCAAATACGAAGATTGAAAAAGAAAATGCGCAGTTACAACATGTTTGGTTTCCTAAGGCTTTAGTAGGCTTAGCAATATTGTTTGCCGAAAAGGCTCAACCGAGTTAATTGAATGATAAAAGCAATATAGACCAAGACAAAGAATCTAAAGAAGCTACAGACAAAAACCTACTTAAGAAATTATTGAATCATACAATATTCAAAGAGTACGTTATTCATAATTGAAAATTTTGCATAACATTTTCCTTTGAAGAAATATATATCCAGAAAGTCATAATGTGTGGAGAAATTTTAAAAACGACGAATAAAATGAACATTTCTACATGGCACAAAATATCCATTTAATTTGCATTAAATAGTAATCCAAGGAGATAATTACAATGTCGAGTGTAATGTTCAGCAATGAACATTGGCAGACCGGTGCTGATAACTTGTACCTTGAAACTGGAATGTGCACTCATAATTCCTCTCATTCACGCCAATTTGGCACTTTTTAAACACCCACGCTAACAGCTCTTGGGCCCGCCTTATTTAGCTGTGAGGTATCGAGTTAGCTATTTGAGTCATCCCCAAAAATATTTGTGATCTGAAACCGTACAATTTCCAGCTGCTTTTCAATATAATCTTATTCATCTTCCAATAACATTTCTAGCTTTTACATTCCTTCTTCATCTTTATTGTAAACATGATGATCGAATCCTATTTCAAATGGAGCTGCTGATTCAGGTTCAGCTATTATCCCGACTATTCTAGTGGACGTAAAATTAAAACCAAAATTACCGCCAGCCTGCTAAATTAAAATATGCACACAAGTGGTACAAATTGGCCTACATTCATCATCATTAGGTATAAAGCGGGCATTCCGTTCATTTAACATTAATGCCGCGCCTAGATCGAACCCACTCCCTCCATTGTAGTTTCTGTACTAATTAATTTATTGGTTGTAGAGGTAGTTTTAGTCGTGACGAGATTCATATTGTGTTTTCTGATCCGTTCTTTTCAAATTAACAGACTGTTTAATGCTTTGGAAGTTTCAGGCCTAAATAAATTTTGACAAAGGAAATTATGTAGACAAATGTTTGTCCCAAATGTAGTCGAGAATTCGCAAATATCCAAGCAACGCTAAAGTCTTGGCTTTCAAGATTAATCCTGTAAAATTTAAACGGTAATGGCGACATTAACATGTTGGCAGCTCGGCGTTTCCAAGATATATTCGGTACCCGGTTTTATCCTGAGATCATGCTTAAGATCATATTCCGTGAATTTCTCCAGTGGATAACTTGAATTGTCTCTTTATGAGTACCTACCTACGTAGATAACTTAATGTTACGAAAGAGGTATATTTTCTTTAAAATAATACACATTACACATTATCTACGTAAATGTACATTGAATGTTCTCAAATAAATAGATTAGAATAGTTTCTGAAGTATTTACCTTAACCATTCCTGCATCAAATATTTAACTTTTCAAGCCTGTAGCGATGAAGTAAAACATCTGCATATTTGCTGCTTCAAGCTGATAACTGAACTTGTTTCTACTAGTTATTACCACGATAACAATGAAATAACAGTAAAAGTCTAATAAAACAGAAAATAAATAGAATAGATATGAAAAATAGAACTGACGAAATCAACTCTAATACTGAATATTAAACACTAACAATGATAGATACTTTTCAGCTCTTGTAGCGAAAAATCAAACAATTAATATTCACTGTTTAGTTCATAACAAACCACGTTAAGCGCTACATCGCTTTACTTACGAAATTCCACTGAGAATCGTGCAATTTCTTATCGCAGCATCGTAGTTGCACGTTGCGGTTCACGTTTTGCATCAACGACCAAGGCAACCTGACCTTCCAACCCCTCTTTTGTTTTCTTAAAATGGTTCCGAGCACGAAAGGACAGTGTCTTCAGAGATGTCTCGTTAAATTGGACGGTGTCGTGATTCAGCTTTGTATTTTCTAACAGAGATTTATTTTTAGTGTGATGTTTAGAGGCAAATATTCAGTGGAGATTTTGTTTGAACATTTACCAGGAGAAAGAAATGTATAACATGGGATTTTATTGTTAAAATACAGTCATTATGCTTGTAAAATTAACTTAGAAACTATAGATGTAAATCATTATTGTACAAAAGTATAAAAGGACCAATATTGACTTGGCAACCAGTTTGCAATCTTAAGATAAAAACTGACTTATCAAGGCAATTATCATTAACCTGCACAGACTGCAATAGGAGCAGTAAATTATTTCTATATCCAGTCAACTTGATTGTGTATTCATAGTAGTGGTTTATATAAGGTTCTACGGTCCGTGAGGTATAATAATTATCTATGCATTCATTTTGAAATCAATCTTTTTTTACAAATGCTTTTCTTCTCTAAACCTTACACATTTATTTTTATTTGATTTAGTAGTGATGTCCTAAAGGACATGACTAACTGGCCTGGCTAACCTTATCCTACAGCACCACAGATTAACTAGACTAGTAAAATTATTTCACTTATTACATAGAACACTTCAAGCATTCGTGAATGTGGTTCATATCACCCATTTGATTAACAAAACAATTTTCCCTTTTGCAGGTAATTTGTCAATAAAACGAACAAATTATCCTTTATTGTTATATCTAATATGTTTTCCTGTATTAAAAACATTACTACATATGAATCAATTTTGAATGACTGAAAATATAAGTACTGTATCAAACCCTGACATATTTTGGAGCTAAAAATAACTAGTATACTAACATCTCCCATAGGAACAGAAGCTATGGAGCTGTACGTCAAACCTGTCTGTTTAATTGTAGGCTCAATTAATTCAGGTCGTTTTGGGAATGCTGTTCTCGCCCACGACAAAGCAGGACCGGGAATAGAACCGGTTGAATCCTCAACGAGATAGAAGCTTCCTTTAATAATTTGTCTGCCTGATAAGACGTGGCAGGTGAAGGAATAAAGATTGTGCTCTTTGCCTGGGGATTGCTAGCTTTCTGAAGCTGACGTGCCTTTTAATTTTAGAAAAAGGTGGGATGATGTGATTATAGAACAAGTTGGTAATTACTCTTTTGTGTTGTTTTTAACTAGCAATTAGGAGAGAGACCATTTTTTGCTAGTCTAATTTATTAATCTTAAAGAAATAAAAATTCGTAGCCGATGAACTCATGACAATTTTTTAATATTTAGCAAGATACATGAGGCAAATATCATCGGAAAGAGGCATCAAAGGACTATTAATTTTAGGTTACAAAGGGACGGCAACAAAATAATTTCAGAAGGGTAAAAACAAATTAATTCTAACTACGGACAAAGTATGAATAACGAAAATCCAATTACGAGCTCCTAGAAAAGGGACGCCTAGCAACAAGCAAATTATACAGCTATTAACAAGATAGTCAACAGAAAACTTTATAATAAAATGGAAAACAAAACCAGAGCTCGCAGCTCTGAAGATCTAGTTAACATTTCAAACAAAAACAACTAAATGCCAACCCTCATTAAGCGAACTAAAACTGACTTCGAAATTAAAGGTAAACTGCTTTCAAAACAAACAAAGGCTAGGAAACAATTAATTTGGGCGAAAATAGAGGTTCTTCTGTTTATAAAGTTCAAGCATGATCGCGTTTACACTGTACATCTATTTAAAATTTTAAAACCTAAAATTAAGTATACTGTTGTGTCTGTATAAAACGATATTTTCGATAAATTGAAAATTGGATCGTACCATTAGGATGTTATGAGGTAATCATGATTTTAGATTGAAGAAAAATATCTGATATTGTTTTATGCTTGTTGATGTTTACAAGGGAGAAATTTCTCAGTAATTGGTTATGAGCTGTAGAGTACGTAAGTATATTAATAGAAATAGTATTTGAAACAATAGTTAAAAGCATTCTTTTCAAGATTAAGAAGTAGTCACACCTTCACACCAAGTTTGTAAGGCCACAACCTTCAAGCGAAATATAATTGCACGCCTGCTCTTGTCCACTGCAGCAAATATTAAGACATAAAGGTCTTATGTACCCGTCCACCCACAGTAGTAAACAAGCCAAATTATATTGCATTCAACTCCGAGTAGGATGTTATATTAATGTCTAATTTAAACAGCACAGGAACCAGTATGGAACCTTGTGGCATTCCGTGTAAGTACGTAGGACTGTTTCATACAAAGTCATATTTAGAAATAGGTGCAACGGGTGCATGTGTTATTATTGGATACGAGAAGTCGCATTTGTGAAGAAAAAGAATTAAAATGTCGCATTTCTAGTTATTGTTAGCAGTTTCGTACTATCAGTAGCTTATGTCAAGTCGCAGCTAATAATAGACCAACCTACGTTTTCCTAAACAATATGAACTTTATTTTTAACACAAAACAAACAAGATTTCACTT